ACCAAGAAACTCAAAAGGTTAGTAGCAAAACTTTACCACCCTTTGATGATGATAATATACAAGTATCATAACCCAGGATTAAAACAATTATAATAAAGAAAGAAAAGAAATATAAACCTTTTAAAAGCCTGTATGTGGGCACCCAGTGCGCAATGGCTTCGTTAGCCCTGACATGACCTTACAAATAGATTTGTTGGTAGAGTTTATATACTTCATGGAATTTTTAGTAAGATGACATGCTGAAAATGGTATCTATTAATTATGCATGTATTTTTTTTCAGAAGCCAGTCAAGCAACATACTCCCAACCAAAGACCCTTTGGTAGAGTGGTCTTGCCCTCACGGCCAAGGAAACTCAGGCCTCTATAGCCATCTCCCAACCCACAAACCAGATATATGATGAGGTGTCATCTTCTTTTAAGACACGTGAACAACATGTATGACAAAGTAATTATAATATTCTGATGGCAACTGTTATATTTTTAATGTTTCACAAACTCACTGTTTCTTTATTTGTTGCTTCTTGATCTATGGAAACACCGTGCAGGAGATTCCCTCAAGAATCTGTTCAGCTCATGCCAGATGCCTCCATCATGATGGGAGCTATACTTCTCAAGGTGAGATGATAATGATGATGATGACGATGATGATGATGATGACAATGATGATGATGATGATGATGATGATGATGATGATGATGATGATGATGATGATGATGATGAAGATGATGATGATGATGATGAAGATGATGATGATGATGATGATGATGATGAAGATGATGACTGTGATGTTGATGATGATGATGGTGGTGGTAGTGGTGGTGATGATGTTAATGATGATGATGATGAAGATGATGATGATGATGATGAAGATGATGATGATGATGATGATGATGATGAAGATGATGACTGTGATGTTAATGATGATGATTGTGATGATGGTGGTGATGATGATGACGACGACGATGAAGTTGATGATGGTTAATGATGATGATGATGATAAGAACATCAATTTAAGTTTTGGGAGATGTTGGTGAATGGTGATGATGTTGGTGGTTGTCATGATTATGATTATGACGATGATAATGATGGTGGTGGACATGGTTAATGATGACGATGATGATAAGGATATAAATTTAAGTGATAGTGATTGTAGTGATGATGGTGGTGATGGTGTTGGTGGCTGTCATGATGATGATGATGACGACAGCGATGAAGTTGATGGTTAATGATGATGATGATAAGAATATCAATTTAATTGTTGGAGATGTTGTTGATGATGTGATGATGATGATGATTATCATGTTGATAATGATGATCATGTTGGTGGTGACGGTCATTGTAGTGATGGTGATGATGATGAACAGGTTCTTGATGGTAACTTGTGAGATGATGATACTGGTGGTGTAATGATGCAGAGATCATTTAATGATAATCAAAAAAGATTAATTTTAAGGATGCTTGCAATTAATCATATTCCCCCTATGGTTTCTCTATCCTTCAGATGTCTGCAGAATCCGATGACAATTTAGATCTTCTCGTCTCATGGCCCTACCAGGTAGGTTTTAATTTATTCATTTATTCTAATCTTATGCTAGAAAGGGCTGCATGATAATAATACTTGCATCAATGTAGATCAGGTAGGCTTTAATTTATTCATTTATTCTAATCTTATGCTGAAAAGGACTGCATAATAATTGTACTTGCATCAATATGGATGTGTCGTGTTGGTTGTATTGTGGCTCATTCACTAGACTCTTAATTGATGGCTCAGGGTTCGTAACGTCCTTTGGCCAGACATTAATCCACATTTGCTACTCTTCTCCCAGGTGTAAATGGGTACCTGGCAATTCTGGATAAAATGATAATTGCAGGGCCCTCAGGAAGAACTCATTCATTGTTATGGAATGTCCTTTGATTACTTGATCCATTCAGTTTCAATAATACTAATAATGGTGGCTTTTTGTATAGCGCACGTGTCCGTCACGTTGTGATGCTCCTGGTGCTGCCCCGATTATTACCCTGGCTTTAGCGAGGCGGCCATTACGGCGCTCTAGCATTTCAAGGAATTAATTCCTGCCAGGTACCCATCACCTGGGTTGAGTGTGGCAAATGTAGATCAATGTCTTACCAAAGGACATTAGTGCAATTTTCTTTTCTCTCTTTTTAAAAATACAGGAAGAGGAACTTGGCAGCTCTCTACTCAGCATGCTGCAATCACCAAAGACCTCCCAGGCCGAATGATGACATCTGAAAAGATCACCGAATGAAATGAAGGATGGACAGACGGGAGGAAGATTGGACAGAGGAAAGATGGACAAAAGGAGGAAAAGAAAGAGGTGCAGAAGAATGGAGATGTCACAAAGAGAAAAACAAATAGAGATGATGGATTTATTAATGGAATTTTAAAGGCTGTCTGCACTAGTTTAGCATGGCCAGCATGGTCACTGACAAGTAGTTATCTCATCAACTCAGCTCTCAATTAACATAAGAAAAAAGGGGATCATGGGGGACCAACGGGTACCGATTTGGAATTGTTTGCTCTATAGAGGCAGCAAGTAGCTACAAGTAATGCAGTGAAAGGGAGAGAAAAGGAGAGAGAACGAGATGGAAGGAGAGGGGGAAGGGGGAGAAAGAAAGTTTAATGAAATGCACCAATCTTCCCCCTTTTAGATCTCGGCTGTAGAAGGTCCACATGATGTTGATTGGATGGGATTAATTTCTTATATATTTTATTGTTTTTATTGCTTATGTATTTCCTTGTTTTTATGATTTATTATGTTTCAGAAATGTATCTTGATAAATTTAAAGGCAAACGATATAAGAAAATGGCAAACAAGACCTGGGCCCGTTTCACAAAACTTGTCATCAGTGACAAATGACAGTTTTTGTTATAAGCTACCGAAATTCTTGCCTCTGATTGGTTATCAGCAGATTTGTCAATGATTTTTGTAATTTGTCATTGAAAAAAGGCTTTGTGAAACGGGTCCCAGGCCTCGTTATAGAGCAATTTAGAAAAAGCAGTATTTTGTGTTTTGAAATGTTGTGTGACCTAGTTACAGATTGTCTGATTTTTGGTTAAGAGATATACACTTGTTGAAGCGAAGGTTGCATTCGGGTAAAATTGATGATTTGAGATCTTTCATATTGATTTTAGGTCAGTTGGTTTTGGTATGATACACATTCTCCATAGACCATAAGCCAAGTTTGTCCTGAGAATTGTGGAATCACAAATGTTTCATGCACTTGATCAACTAGTTTGTTAAACAAAATTCTGACCCTAAATACTTGTACTTAGTGACCCATTGATACTGATCTATGTCCAGTTACTTTTCAGCAAGTGAAAAGGAAAGATAGACTAACAAAAAGGAATACCTACTTTTGCATGCCCTTTATAGTTTTATCATCAATATATCATGATCAAAAATCATCTTACTGTATAAGTTTTATATTCAAGTCAATTGACAGGCTGAGTATTTTATATAAGAAATCCCGCTTGCAGACCCCGATTATTTAAAGGGCAATCCACACTTTGTATCAAGTTCATTTGTTTGAAAGTAGAAGAATAAGAGAAACAGAATGCTAAATTTGTTATGAATGTCGAAATTTGCAGATTGGTCAGTTGAGTAGTGGTATGATGTAATTACTGACATTTGTCCCGTTCATCGGGTACAAAAATATCATAAAATTGTCTTTTTTCTTCTGTGTGCCTTCTCCCTTTGGACACATTTTAGGTCCTCTAGAAATAAAAAAATTCTCCCAATACATGCATTTTGAAAAATTGACATTTTAGTCATTTTTGTGATGAAACAAATTAAAAAGTTGTACGGCACTACGTGACAGGGGCATTACTGATTTAGCAAATTTTAAGTGGTAAATCGTTTTAGTGATTAATTTTTTTTTTCATAGCTTTCTTATTTTATCCTCCGATTTCATGCAAATTTTTACCAGTGTGCTCTTTTCATTTTTCTGCATCTTTTAGAGTAATTTTCTTTTTTAAGGTCAGATTTTCCTTCAAGAGCTTGTTTGGGTGGCATTATACCCAAGCCAAGAAGCCTTCCACGAGCAAGTGTGAGAAATACATGTTTCATTTCTTTCATGAGCAGATGTTCATATTAAGAAATAAACAAGGTAGTGTGGTACATCACTCTTTTCATTTGTGCAGGTTTTTATCTCAGCTAGATGGAGAGGGTTGTTGTCCTTTTAAGATTGGGGCTATGATGTTTGTAAATAATTTGTAAATATACTTTGTACTATAAATCAACAGAAATAAACCTGTTAAAAATAGTATTTGAGATGTTTATGTCATAATTTATTAAATTTTGAGTTAGCCAAGATAGAATGATAGAAAAAATGATGGAAACAAATATCATTGGGGAGAGGAGGAGAGAGAACAGAGGCGAGGGGAGAGGGGAGGAGAGACGGAGATAGAGAATCGGAAAGAGAGAGAACAGGAGTAGATAGGAGAGATATTAAAGATAGGTGAGAGAGAAAGAGGGGGAGAGAGAACAGAGAAGAGGGGGTTGGAGGGAAAAGAGAAAGGAGGGGAGGAGAGACGGAGAAAGATAGAAGGAGGGGGGGGGGGGGTAGGTAGAAGAGATAACAAAAGATAGGTGAGAGAGAAAGGGGAGAAAGATAGGTAACTAGAGAAAGAAGAAAAAAAAAAGTTTGTATCTGATCATTTATTTTTATTATGTGTATCAACAAAAGAAAAGAATGACAATCTTCATTTACATGTAACACATATGCTAGTTTATGCTTCAATTACATTTTTCTCCCTCTCTTTTCCTTCCTTAATGATTTACTTTCATTTGCCCTCCCTTTCCTCTATTCCCGTCTCCCCCTCCTGTTCCCTCTCATTCTCTCTTTTGCTCTTACTCTTTCGTCACTCTCACAAAACACAAATATAGTGAAACGGTAGCAAGGAAACCTTCGTAAAATCTCCCTTTTTTTAGGTCTACCGGTACTAAGAAAAGCAAAAGGCTTGTGAAACAAAAATAACTTGTTTTTGAGTTGCATTTTTTCTTTAATTTCAAAGATGATAGAATGACAATGAATCATGTAACTACGAAGCAATGAGCAATAAGATTCAACAAAAAATAAAAATATGCTAAAAATTGTTTGAAAATTCCCTTTAAACAAACAACGATTATACAATATTTTCGAAGAAATGGAATTAAAACACTTATGATGAAGTAAAAATCTTAAATCTACGAAGAATTAACACACAATTTTCAACAGTATACATTGTTCTTAAAAATTCTTAAATATGATACTTTCACTTAAAGTAAGGCTTAGAAATTACTGTTAACTTACAAGCTGGGTAAATATGTTTCAAATTTAAAACAGTTTTGTGTATGCACTTTATGGAATAGAAGTATACTTTGGTGTATAATGCACAGAGTTTCAAGAAACATTTTGAAATTGTTTTTCTGCTTTTATTCTTTTATATGGAACCAACTATTCGAAGAATACTTAAAAATGGGAGTGAGTTACATCCCTCTCCTTTCTTTAAAAAATATCTAAAACATCATTCAATTGATAAAACTCTGGATACATGTACTATTGAAACCCATACGAGTAAGATGGAAAGAAAATAATGTCCTTTTTGCGATTCTTGAAACTCTGTGCACATTATAGAAAAAAAACATTACACTCAAAAATACATATTCTTGTGACATATTAAAAAAAACGAAAGATAAAATGCCTTTCGGTCAACTGGCACTTGTAAAATTCTTTGGTATGTTTAGCTGTTTTTGATCTTAGGTTCATAATAACTACTCTCTGATTTTCATGCAATATTCTGATCATCAAAAAGCAACTTTTCTTTCCACTTTTCCTGCATATTCTGTTTACATTGAGGCTACCATAGTACATAGCTCCAAGTAGATATTGCATTGCAATGGAAAATAATACTTTGTGGCATATAGAGAGAGAGGATACTCTTTTAGTGCCGTGTGCAAAGAATGGAAAACTCCTCTCGGACACAGCCAATCAGAAAGCACCTTTCAGCCTTGGCAGCTTTTCATGGAATGTAAGACAAGCTTTGGGATTGGTGGGTCTAACTCTGGCAATCAGCCAATCACGGTCCACCTTTACTCACTTGGTGGCTACACAGCTACTAGCATCTCACAAGCAATTCGATTGGCTAAGCCATAACCTGTCCAACTACAAACGACCAATCACGGCTCTCCACTCAAAGCCTTTGAGGCTATTTAGAATTGTCTGTTTTGTGCAGTGAATTTTGATTGGGTAACTAGCTATAATGCATTGAATGCTATGAAAATTTCCATGGCTTTTTATTACCAGCTAGTGATTATTTTTAAATTCTGATTTTGTTTTAACTCTGGCTAAAATTGCTGTACAAAAAGTACAAAAATAGAACCTGAGAAATATTCTCTCATTTTTCTGTCGTCTTTCGGGTGACGCATGTAGGTGGGATTCGTGCAACGGTATAAAATAAAACATATAAAAACGGTTCTTAGAACCATATGAAAAAAATAAACAATATTTCTTTTGACAATACGACCAGTTATAGGCCTATACTGTGTTATAAGTCCCTGGTCTTGGACAGTTCTTAAGAAAAATCTTAGCCAAAATTTACATCAATTTTCAGAACACGGCAAAATGAAAGAGAACATACGCAACATCATCATCAACGGATTGTGTCATTGCAAATGAAGACCAGGGATTTATAGAACATTGTGTGTTTAAAACTTCTCTGTAAATATACACATATATAAGCTCTTTTTTCTTAAAATACAACCTTAAAGTAAGATATATACTTAACATAATACATGTCCACGTGCGGGCACTGCAGGCTACACAAAAATGCACAAATTAATTTTCCTAAAATGATGAAAATGATGGAATATAACACATAAATTTCTACGATGAATAGTTTGCAAACTGGTGATTTTTTTTTGTTTTACTTTACATTCAAAAGTTTTAAAGTCCTACATTACATGGAATTAATTGATAAGGGAATTCAACTTTGACCTAAAAATTGTTCTGTTGCCGAAAAAAATAATCACTTTCTTTAATAGAGGAAGTCAATGGGTTATAAACAAATAGACTTTATTAATTTTGGGCTGAATTCATCACATTTGAACAATATTAAAGGGCTGCAACAGGAAGGTATTACTTATCTGCTGATAGTGAAAATGGCATTAACTACCACATCAAAATAATGGCTTTTTTTAGCTGTCAACATAATGATTTGAGTTAGGTATTTGCCAGATAGGGTATCTAAAACCATGTAGCAGGGATTTGTAGTTTTTTCTTTCTGTCTGCAAACTAGCTTTCTCTTCATTATGCATCAGAACATCCCACATCAGATTGTAAACATATAACAAATTCTTTTCTGTTCAAACTCAAGTCAAGGAGATATTGCAAAACCTGAAATAAAATTCTTAATTGCAATACACAGGGACGGCATGCCAATGTTTAAAGAAATCTATATCCAACACACTACATAAAACCTCCTCGAATGGACGTTGCATAATAATGAACTGTCCGGTGCTAATTTAGATCTCTTCTGAAATAGGTTTTCAAATAATGCCGAGCATACTTTGGCAGCCCAAAGCCGATTTCAAATCTGAATACAAAAACTGTCCAACTTGAATACAAAAGGGCATACAGAGGCATCTTTACTCCTAAGTTGATGGAGAGTTGTGGCGAGTACTGTATCAAACACACACAGTGTACATTTTTGGCAAATATCAAACCCGTTACGCATAGACACACTAGTGCTACCAGAGTTACATGGGAAAACACCAAACCATTGTTTGATAAACTCAATCTGTTGTCATTTTGAAGTACCATAAACAAAAACAAGAAATGGTCTTTTCTCAACTCTGCTCTGGATATTTGGCTAATTAATACAAAGTTTTAAACAGATTGTTTAATTGTTTCATTCAATAAGGCAGTATCACAGTCCGTTTTATCCTCCTCATATGATATGGCACGTATATTTCATTAAAGGCACTTAATAACATGAATAAATAGATTCTGCTATTACTTTAATATTGGGTCTTGAAAATTCATACCAAACTTTTTAACCTTAGATTAATTTTAATTGACACTTAATTCATCCTAAATTTTGTCAAATTTCTTCTGTCTTTACGAAAGGCAAGAGTAAACAACAACAAAACTTTAAAATACTTTCAATTTTTCTAAAGTATCTCCAGGGAATGATTTTTATTAGCGCCAGGGTCAAATGGTTTACTTGCGACTTAAACTGGATATTTAATGATTCAACTTCAAAAACACAGAATTATGCTGTGAAAGATCTATCAATAAATTTGGGCTATGAGCAAAACACTGGAATATTAATATAGATGACAATGAGTGCGATATATGTACATCAATGAATTTTCTTTAAAATCTAAGTTGTTCAATTCGTTCAACAAATTGAAAACTGACTTAAGTAGAATGAAAGAAGAATTAAAGTAATGATACAATGACTTAGGACTACATTAAAAGTACATCGGAACTATATCTACATGATGATAAAACCTTAGCTGCTGAATTTCCAGATAAAACACGAACACTTGAAATTGCTCTCTGATTAAAACCGCAATAAAACTTGTGAAATTCACCTCATTGATGCTTTATAACTTTTAAAAATCAACACAGAACTGTACTATTAAACAGGTAAAAACTCCCAAATTGGTGAGAGTTGGGATTGTTTTTCAGTTTTGGAAACATTTTCAATTGGTTTTTGTTAAATAGAGAAAAATAGGGTGAATCAAACAGTGCATAGATATGTTTATTAAATAACACCAAAAATAACTCTTTTTACACATCTCTTTTTTTTAGTTCATTCTTTCTCTAACCTGCTTTATCCAAGTGCAACTTATTCAACTGAAACAAGATAAATGTGTTATCATGGGCTTTTCAAGTGTTCTCGCAGTTTTATGCTTAATGAATTTCATGAAAATAAGCAAATAGAAGATATTTAGTTAAGGCTTTCATCTGCATACATCATGATCTGAAGTCTAAATACATAAAGCAAATGATGAAAATATAATTGCAAGCAAATGTCCAGAAGGTGATCTCAGATGAATAACCTATTTTATCATCGATGAAATGTTAAACAATATATAATTTTCTGTTTAAATGGACAAAACAAAACAAAACTTGGCTTTTCTTCAATCAATTTTAGCAAAAGAGTATTTTAGTTTAACCGTCTTAAACAAATTGCCATGACCCGCTTGATTGTGTTCGGCAAAAGGAGGCAAAAGGGCGCAAATGCGATAAAAAGAAAACAACTGCTTTTAAACCAATCTAAGTTGTGCATAACTATAGATGTAACAGCTCCTATTGTCAAATAGACAATGTTGTGACTTGTTGTGCTTTAGCAGGCAAAAGTACACATGTGCGATATATTTAAAAACCTAAACTTATCCTTTTTCATGGGTCTTTAACCTATAAACTTTCACTTCACGCTGACTCACAAGGGGATATTTTGGGAAAGGGGAACACACTTCTAACTCGAAGAAGCTCGGGTTATATAGAAACAATCTGAACAAATATCTGTCATTTTGAAAGACACAGATTTCTCTAAACAGCTTGAAAGACAACTCAGAAAGACAGATTATCACAAAAAGCATTTTATCTGATATTTTTGTACAATATCACAAAAAAAGAAAAATGTCACTGTAGGAATGTCACTCATGGCAATAGAATGTCTGATCATTCTCAAAATAGTAAAGATATAAACACCTTTTTTTAGTTATAATAAGACTGCTAATAGTGTGTACTAAAGCAGGTTTACGGAAACAAGGTGTTGGTTTAGAAACCAATTTTTTTTTAGGTATGGGCAATATTCCGAACAAAACTAGTCAGAAGATTTCTCCCCCATATTGCTGAATGTAAATGTTTAGTTTTTGCCCTTTTTCATGCTTATGTTCAAAGACTTTTTGCCTAGGCAATGTGAGTTGTAAATGAAACTTGTTTGAAGAAAAAAAAATCATTAAGTTGATAAAAATCATAAACTCTATCTAAACACAAAAATTTAATGAAAATAGCTAAAACTCAAACTTTTGATATATAAATCGTAAACTCAATATCTAAACACAAAAGATTTATCTTGAAATATCTATGAGAAAGATTATACAACACACAACAACATAAAGGAAAATATCGAGAAATCACGAAACATCAGTCGATCGAAAAAAATTGGAAAAGATATAGGGATAGTCAGGTGCGTAGTAGTACGTCAGGGGGATGAATTAGCAGCGTGGTTTGGTCCCTCATCCTTGGTAGACCTGGTAGATGTCCCCTGCTCCGTGAGTGTAACCTCCCTGTTGGTGGTAGCCTGACTGGTAGGGGTGAGGGGAGGAGCTGTTGTGGGCATCACCACCTGGAGGAAGAAATAGGGGTGTGTAAGTCGATTAGATATGGAGGGAAGCATAGTGTGTTAAAAAAAGGAAAGTAGGGAGACACAACCTCCTTGCATGTTCCATAAAGCAACAGCCATCTCCTATTAAAGCCCCACTGCACTACTTATAGCTACTAGCGCCCTCTATATACCAAATAATGCCTAATCGGAGCCTGTTGGTCCCACAAGATCCCCTCTTTGTTATGTTAATTGAGAGCTGATTTGATGAGATAACCACCTATCAGTGACCTTGCAGGGAGTTCTATTCCCCTCATGCCAAACTAGTGCAGACAAGTTACAACCATAGTCTGATCTGTTTGGAGCCAGAAGGGTGTTAACTCATATACCCTAACACAGAGTTAAGGCTCATCTGACTCTGAACACATGATATATTCTCCTGAGAGCAAGATGGCATTAACTTTGTATGTTGACCCGACATTTGCTCTGGGCTGTATTTTGTGAAATATATAAAGTTAATGACTACATTTTTCAAACCCCTAGTAAAATTGACGGTTTTGATGTTTTCCGTAGCTCAAGAATGAAAGGTGGGCTGGTTACATGAGGGCCATAGTTAAATACTTTTCGATGTAAGCTTAAATGTGTCACGTTCTCAAGAAAGTCAAATCAGTTTGTGGTCTGGGGTTGTGTTGAAGAGTAGAAAATGAGGAATGGTTGAAAGATAAACTTAGATGTGAGTTAATATTAGTATGAGAAAATGTTGCTATAAAATCTAAAGAACTAGTCTTCTCATCGATGGCAAAGCAAACAATACCCGGTATGTTTATATTATAAATAAGACCGATGGGAACCAAATTTCTGCATTATTATCTCGATAATAAAACTTAAATCTTGAGAAATTCTGTGCCAGAGAATGTACATGTAAGGTAAAATCATTTTTGCGGTACATGCAAGCTACTTTAAAAAGATACCAAAGCAATCTGTACTAATAAAAACAAATCACATCGTGAATATAAAATGTTCTTATCAATACGAAAAGAGAAAAGAGCAATGGAATCATTTCTACTAGAATAAAGGAGTTGAGAGAAATTTATTCCCATTTGTACTACATTAACAACTACAAATCATGAAATACTATTTTTTTTAAATAAACAAAGAAAAAGAAAGCAAATCCCTAAAATGAAATGTACATGTAGCATTCAAAAGTACTGTATATAAGAAACAAAAGCATAGGAGTATGTCATCTGTATAATATAAGGGATACAAAAGATCTTGAATCATCTACTACAGAGCTTGATAAACTAAACAGAAACAAAATGAAATGTAGCATTGAAGAATATTATAAGAAAAGATAGCAATGAAATGTTCTTTCTACAGAGAATAGGGGTGAAAAATTGAATTCAAGCTGCACTAATACAGATGAAGAAAAACTGACTAAAATAATATTACACCCGTACAATAAAAATGTAGCATTCCAATATATTATCAGAGAAGATAGGAATGGAATCTCCCATTTGCACAGAATAGGGAGAAAAGTGAATTCCTACACTACAACAAAACTAGAATGTAGATGGACTATAACAAAAACAATCACACCCCTAAAATGAAATGTAGCATTCCAATATATATCATGAGAGAAGATAGCAATGGAATCTCCCATTCGCATAGGATAGGGGAGAAAGGTGAATTCCTACCTGCACTAACTACAACAGAGCTAGATGGGTAAGAGCTATGATGTGAGCCAATTTGATGATGGTGATGGATGGAGGCGGGGTATGGAGAGGGTGAATGGGAGGGGCTTCCCTGCACAGGACTGTCTGATTGGCTCTCGTCACCTAGATATGCAAATGAGGAAGCAAAGCAATGGAAAGGAAGCGAGTGTCTGTGTATACGTGTATAGAAGCATGATATTACCCAAGTCACACTGCCGAATCAACTCAAGCCGGGTTCATGTCATTTTTGTTTGATCTGGGACCCATTTCACAAAGCCTTTTTCCAATGACAAAATCTGCTGATAACCAATCAGAAGAAAGGATTTCACTAACTTATAAGAAAAACTGTCATTTGTCACTGACGACAAGTTTTGTGAAATGGCGCCCTGGTGTCGATCTTGCTGTGTGACCTAGGTATATAATTAGCGCAGCAGAGATAAATAGTATTAAGATGAAGGTGAAAAAGAAAAAAAAGGTATGTGGCAAGAAAAAAGATCTTAAAAAGCTGATATCTGAAATTTAAACAGAAAACAAGAAAACTGAATAAAAGAAAAGAAAAGACAAGAAGAAAGAAAAAAAGGGAAAGAAAAAGAAAAGAAAGCATATAAATCCATATTTTTTTAACCCCAGTGCCCGATTACCGTTTTTATTGAAACTGAAGTTAATCCTGTATACATGTATATGAGCTGTATTTCCATTAGATATTCTTCAAACATAACGTTAGAAATGGCAGGAAATGAAAAATTATAAACTTTTGGTCTACAACCAAAGTATGAAGCAAAGAAGATAGGGATAAAAAATGAATGAAAGCAAAGGTAAATTATGAAATTGGTAAATGGTAAATTGGCGAAAGCAGCTAACGAAGGTAATATATTAGCACTTTGTAATGTACATTACATGAGAAAGAATGGTTTACATACAGGAACATAACAATCGATTATCATGGCTACAATAAAAGTATATGGATTACAAGAATGAAAAGGAGATTGATTCAATAAAAAATGACAAAAGACTACGATTTACTACTTTACTACGTTAACTTTCCTGTGATTCTAACAATCTATATGGGTTTAAGCTTTTCTGTGATTTTTTTTTTCTTCGGGTGGGGGGGGGGGGGGGGGGGAGGGATTGTTATTCCAGCTTGCATCAGAAATTACACTGAATAATATCTCAGATTTGCATGTTATATTCTTTACATGAATATGTGTCGCCATGAAACAAATTTACTTTGCAATTTAAAATGGATTAAAAAGCGCATGGTGAAATGACATGATCGTGAACATAATTTCTATCAGTTATTATTCACTGAATTTGCATTAGATACATGTGCTACATGTTTTCTAGGAGGGGGCGAGTGAGGGCGAGGGGGTGGGGGATATTTGGATGAATGACAAAACGTGTCTTACATTGATTGCATTGCCTATGGCCCTCTCTATTACAGCTCACCTATAGTATGCACGCAATGTAAGACAATAGAAACAACGCAATCGGTATTGGAATTCATGATGCCATTTTACACAAAATGTACTACTGTAAGAATGTGCTATTTCACATGAATGCCTTTGGTTTAACATATGAACAGCATTGTAGGTTTTGTTCCTTACAACTGCACACTATGAACATTTTAATGACCTAGCTTGTTTGTTTTTCGTTTAAAAATGACAGTATAGAAACAATCACAATACAATCATATCTGTATATAAAGGACACTAGAAACAGACCCGAAAAGCAGTCTTTATTATGAGCAGAGAGAGTTTTTATATACAAGGTACATACATGTATGTATAGGTTTTAATGGCGAACACTTTTCAAGGGGGAGAAGCCTTTTTCTTCCAATGAATGGTCTTTTCATTGAGGTGGTTGCTAAAGCAGATTTGATTGTATAATCATTAAAATGTATCCCCCCCCCATCCCCCCAAAAAAATGAATAAATAAATTTGGAAAAATCTATGTACCCCACATAATCTACATAATGTTCTAAACAACTTTAGGAGCAACAAATACAATCCAACTTTTGCCTTTTGTTGTAAGCAAACGTGATCATCTGCTGAGAGCCTGGAAGGCGCTAACCCATTGCCCCAAGGGAACCGGGTTACCCTGTGTTAAGTCTACGGGGTTAAGGGTAGTAGTAGGGTAGTAGTACCAGAACACAGAGTTAGCAACCTTCTGGCTCTCAACGGACAACTTTAGAACCGGATGGAGCGACGTACGTGTACCTCTTACCATCGACTGGAACCCCGAGGGAAGCCAGCAGGCACTCGGCTGCAAAGTTCTTGGCCTGGTCCGGGGTCTGGCAAAGCTTCTGGGGCGTGAGGCCATCGGGATAGTTGGCTGATAGACCTGGAACAGTCACCTAAAGAAGAGAGAGGGGAGGAACGTAGAGAAGATGGTTAAACTAGTGCCATTGATGATGAGACGGTCATAGAAGAGCATACTCATGGGAAGGGAGGTTTATTTATTTATTGGTAGTAAGGTTCTTGGCCTGGACAGGCGTCTGGCAAGACTTCCGAGGTGTAGTGTAGGCCAGCGGGATAGTTGGCCGTTAGACCTGGAACAGTCATCTAAAGCAGAGAGGAGAGGAGAGGAACATTCACATAGAAAAGTTGGTGAATTCATTGTCACCTTTGATAAGATGATCTAGAACCCAGAGCATACACATAATACGATTAATTGATTGAATGATAGCTCAAATCTTTGCCTGGTTGCGGGCCTGGCAAGACTTCTGGAGTGTGAGGCCATCGGGGTAGTTAGCCACAAGACATGGTAATGTCACACATGTGCACTCATAACCGTTTCATCAAAGTGATTATGATTGCACATGTGCAAAGCGGCAGGCTTTCAATAGGTCTCTTCCCAAGACACACGAAAGGAAATTATTTGTCTCACCTTATAGATGAAGAGCTGGACATCACTGTTGGTACGATGAGAGAGGAGGGTGAAACTGGGTGGGCCCCACTGGTTCTTATTGCACAGCTCCTCCAGGACCTAAAAACATCAATCACAACGTTATACCTGGTAAACACCACTATCATCAGTCTCAACTGAACACCTAAAAACATCAATCAGAACATTATACCTGGTAAACACTACTATCATCAGTCTCAACTGAACACCTAAAAACATCAATCAGAACATTATAGCAGGGGGGTGTTTCACAAAGAATCAAAGTCGAACTTAACTCTAAGTTGGACTTAAACATTATAAAGAGCCATTTAAAATAAAATAAAATTAGAATAAAATATATTCAAAAGAAGGGGGGGGGGGGGTAACTTGTCAACAGTGACAAATTATAAGCTACCAAAATTCTTGCCATTGATTGGTTATCACTAATCTTTGTCATTTGTCATTGAAAAAAGGGCTTTGTGAAACAACACCCCCCCCCCCCTCCCTGCATTCACATAAAACTGCAAAATACATATTTAGCTTCCTTGACAACACTTTAAACAAATTGTGACTATGGACTCCTTAAAGCAACTGGTACACAGGACATAACAATGATCTACAGTAGATGTGAAAACACTGATTTCTTCAGTTTGGGAGTTAAAACGCTACTCTACGTACAAAAACTCAAACTACATTGTAATCAGGTGATTTACACTAATGAAAACATCAATCAATTAATTGCAACCATGGCACTTTATATGCATTTAGTATATAAAGTGCTTTAAAATAGAGACATCATTGATGTATAAAGAGCTATATAAAAGCAGAATATATAGTAGTGTTTGTACTAATTTTTTTTTTCTTCAATAAACTAGGCAGGATGGAGTGAAGAAAATGTTTAGATCTTTGAAAAATGGTATAGGTACTTTATCTGTACAAGAGCATTTGCATGTAGGGTATATCAGATTTGCCAAGAAAATATGTCAGACCCGAACAACAATCTCTTCAATATGAAAAATTAGTGGTGATAACGACTTAGGTTAAAACGAGGAAAGGGTTAGTTGTTGAAAAAGGTAAATGAATGAATAATGAAAGAGATGACAAAATTAATAAGCTAAAACATGATGAAGGCTAGAGGGATGAGGAAGGTCTGAAAGAAAAAATGTGAATAGATTAATGAGAGCTGAGACAAGATATCAGGCACTACTGGTATACTATAGGTTGAACAAAAGGAAACTGTATGTTGTTGAATAAGTAAATAAATGGATATTAAAAAAGAAATGACAAAATTCATAAGCCAAAACATGATGACGAGGGATGATGAAGGTCTGAAAGAAAAGTTGTGAATAAATTGATGAGAGCTGAGACATATAAGGCACTATAGTGGTGATAATGTTGTATGTACTTAAGGTTAAAAAAGAGGAAACAGTCAATAAAAAAACAGTAAATAAATGGATAACGAAAGAGATGATGAAATTCATATTAAAGCTGAAACGTGATGAAGAGAGATGAGGAAGGTCTGAAAGAAAAGTTGTGAGTTGAGACATGACATCAGGCACTATGATGAGGAGTCGAATAAAATGTTGTAATAGTGATATGAATGTTTCTTTATTGGGTAATCACAAGAATAGCATACACATTTACAGTTTGAACAGCACACAATGAGTGACTTTACAATGGAAAGGTTTCAACCACACATGTTAGTATACCTGAATGTTATTTTTCTCTGGTTTAAGAGTTACTGGGTTGGTTGGGGTCAATTCCATTCCGGGTAGGAGGTCGAACAGGCGGGGCTGGAGCGGAGGGACAGTTAGAGGAACAAATTTAAACAGAGAAAAAGAAATACCAGAAAATTATTAGTAAAATTCAAATGTTATCATCATATAAATTACCTAGTAAAAATATCCATTATTTGAAAATATCATAGAAAGTGCAAAAGAAAATGGGAACAAACATCAATGCCTTCTAACAATATTTTCCACTATTAGCTTCCAAATTAATTTGAGATAAATGACATACACTCCGACATGGGTGAAGAAGAGTACTTTTATATCAAACTTAAACAGGAAGCCAGTCTTTATATATTAGCATTATAATATACTGATCAGTGAACATAGCAAACCAACAATTTTCCCCCAAATTTGTTTAGACTGAATGAAGGATAAAAGGACGTTAGTCTAATATTAGCCGACCTTCAAAAACATAAGAACCCATAAAAAACACTTTTGCAAAATAATATTGTTAGTTAAGATTTTGAACAAATCAAATGAATTTGATTATCAGTTTTAGGAAGCAAACACTTTAAATAAAACAAGATTTCTGCATGTTCCTACCGTAGTAGGTATTAGCTTCAGATGAAGCATTAGGTTATTTAATGCGGAAAAAGATGCGTCCAAAACGCAAAAGGCGCAATTATTAATTATATTTGTGAAATCAAAGTTGTTTTGATAATGAAGTTATATCTAAGAGACAGGTATCACTAACCGCAGACTGCCAGAGGGGGGTTAATGCACTTTTGCTTTTCAGGTCAACAAACTTTGAATTTAGGTAGCTAAGCGAAATGTAATGGAGCCAAAAGACATGCATCCGGAACACAAAATTCATAATTGTTGAAAATGGAAATTTTATCAGACTGAGCTATTACCACAAAGTTATGATATAAAGCTGGTAAATGCATGTACGGGGCTTAACTTTGCCTAAAATGTCATTCAGATTTGTGAAAACAACTTTGATATCACAAATAATAAGTTAGATAAGGCTTTGTTAGTTCTCGATAGTCCGTATTCTACTTATTCTGTTCGACCAACGCAGGCTCCAATGTCACATTTAACAACAGGAAAACATAGACTTGAGATGAGCTTCCTTTGTTAAACCAAATTTTGGAAAAAAGCTTTCATTTTATTAGAATATGGGTTCAATAATTTTGTATGAAAGCGAGTTTCCGAAAAAAGAAAATTAAAGAATCTTTAAATATGTACCTCCTGAGGTTTCCTGTCGTATCGGTTGTATCCTCGCCCCATTCCGTAGCTTCTGGTTCCACCGGCACCACGCATACCACCGGCGCCACCACGACCTCTGGTACCGCCACGGATCGGTGAGCGTTGCATCATACCGCCGCCTCTACCGCCCATTCCCATCCTAGAAAACAAAAAATGTCAAATGAGTTTTGATACAAGTGGATAGCATTACACACTGCCTCTATCTAGTGTGCCCCCGACTCATGCTCAAGCAGCTTAATGCATTAAAGGTTTTAGGGAGTAGGGTTTCAACCGCACTATCTGAACAGCCACCCTAACCATTGGTACCATCTCAGACCGGTGAACCCATCTCACTTAAAGCCCTTTGCATTAGTTTGGCAGGGAGGGATTAGACCTCCCTGCAAGGTCACTGGCAGGTGGTTATCTCATCAAATTAGCTGTCAATTAACATAACAAAAAGGGCATCATGGGGGATCAATGGGTACCGCTTAGGCATTGGTGGCTGTATAGAGGGCACTAGTAGCTATAAGTAGTGCAGTGGGACTTTAAGAAACCATAATATTAAACCAGATTAAATGTGTAAAAACTTGCATTACACAGAGCCCATATTAGACACAGCCATCCCATCAAAGAAAGCAGAATTTGGTAACCTACGTTGCAGCCTGCCTACAAGAAGCTATACAGCCCGGTCAGGTGTTGGTTGTTAATACCAAATTTAACTTTGTAATTAACATTTTTACTGAAAGTAAGGACCTTAAATGCCATAGTGACGATACTGTAACTTACATTGGTGGCATTCCAGTTGGATTACTGTAGCCTGGGTAGTAGGAGGGGCTTGATTGCTGCTGTTGCTGCTGCTCGTAACCATAGAGACCTTGCTGGACGTAGCCCCGCCCTGCTCCACGTGTGTACCGGACGTAGTTGCCCTTGTCTACAGGCTTGGCTAGAACGACCTCAATCTTAGCACCATCCAGTAAGGCATCTGTATAATAAGGGGAGATGGGAAAGTAGGAGTGTAATCCGAGTGGAGTTATTCTATTTCAAGGAGAGTCTGAGTAGAGTTAAAGTAAACATTGATGCCATTTTAATTATAATTTGAGTAATATTTCAGTTGGTATCCGTGAAAGTAAAGCTTGCCGATAGTTCTATGAGCTTGATTCAAAAGTTGATTGAATCATGATTTGCAATTTAAAAATCAGCCTTTATATGACTGCTTTTCTAAAGAACACAAGGGAAAGGGAATTGAAGGCATCTTAATTATAATTTGAGTAATATTTTAGTTGGCATCCATGAAAATAAAGCTTGCCATCAGTTTGATGAGCTTAATTTAAAGTTGATTGAATCATAATGCAATTTAAAAATCAGCCTTTATATGACTGCTTTTCAAAAAAACACAGGGGAAAGGGAATTTTGAAAATCAAACAGAAATAAATAAATCAAATCAAATCAAATCAAAAGGAAAAAGTAATATTGAAAGCTTAAAATTAGCTCCACAAAATAACAAATTACCGTTATTTACCCTTTTAAAGCTGCTAACATATATTTAATGTTGCAATAATAAAGTTTACAAGTTTAAATCCCATCTGCACTAGTTTAGCTAGGAGGGGTGAGACCTCCCTGCAAGGTCACTGAACAGGTGGTTATTTCATTAACTCACCTCTCAATTAACATATAAGAAAAAGATGATCATGGGGGACCAATGGTCCTCGATTAGACAGTGTTTGTTATATAGAGGGCACAAGTAGCTATAAGTAGGACAGTGTGGGTTTAAGTAAGATTTTGCCATCAATTTTTTGGCGAATTTGGGGCTTCCAACACTTTAGATGGGCTTTTAAAACGATCATTACAGTTTAACCTGGTAACTACTGAGATCTCTAATTCCCATAGACTTAATACAGGGACAACTCAGTTTCAGTGGGCAAGGGGTTAAGAGAGTTTCTTACCGTCCATTGCATTCATGGCATTGAGAGCATCTTCTCTGGTGAAGAAATGAATGAAGGCGAAGTCTCTGAGCTTCTTAACCCTCTCCACACTGCCTTCCTTGAACGCATTGAACTCTTTGGCAATGGTCTCCTCTGTGGTGTGCAGCATAAGGTTTCTCACGTATAAGATCTTGACCTGCATAAGGAAATACAAATAGGATTAAAATGCATGAGATTTGTGTTGGTATAGGCAAATATAGGGAATTATGAAAATAAGCTCATGAGAATTTCATAGATGTATCCTAAATCCTCAGTATGAAAAAAATCTTTCCATGCTGCATTTTAACCTTGTCAAGTCTTTGGCAATGGTATTTTCTTTAGCAAATACATGTACATGTATAAGGTTTCTCACATGTAAGATCTTGACCTGTATAAGGAAAATACAAGTAGGAAAAATAAACTTATGTGATGTTTCATAACTTTGTTGGTAGACAAAGATATGAATTATGACAAATAAACTGTATGATTGATGAGTCTTTCTATGCTGTCATGATTCTTTAAAATTTGTTACATTTATTATTTTGGGGGCAATGGTCTTTTCCGTTGTGTGCAGCATAAGGTTGCTCACTTATAAGATCTTGACCTGCATTAGGAAATACAAATTGGACAAAAAACGCATAAGAGTTTTGTACTTTTGTTGGTACATGTAGGCAAAGATAGGAATTATGAAAAATAATCTACCGTAAATGATAATTGTATAGATCTATCTTTAAATAATTCTGAGTATGATTACTGAAAATCCTTCTATGCTGCATTTTAATTTGGTAAATCTTTGCCAATGGTATTTTCTGTTGTGTATACACCCTGTACATGTAGCATAAGGTTTCTCAGATATAAGATTTTTACCTGTATAGGAAATATAAATAGGACAAATAAACTTATGTGACATTTGATAATTTTGTTGGTAGGCAAAGAAAGGAATTATGAAAAACAAACTGTATGATCGATGACAATCTTTCTATGCTGTCTTGATGTACGTTTCCTTATTATTGATATACTATTTTGGCCACTATAAATTATAGGGGGCTGTGATCTACGTACATGTATTTTATTTTATTTTCTTGGAAATAGAAATAAACGAAAAGAAAAGATATGGAGAGAGGAAAAGAGGCGTGTGCAGTATGTCAGCATGTTTAACACATGTAGCTAAATCATAATTGGAGCCTATACAATTTTCAAGCTTCACATAAACTCGCCATTAACGGCCTGCATGTGATCTTTCAAATATGGAGAGAGAAAAAGAGGTGTGTTCAGTATATACTGTAATACTCCACCACTACCAGCACACTGTTACGCCCAATCTTTCTATCATGTATAATACGAGTAGTAAAACACACAGCGTCCAGAGTTCAACTACATACATTGATTCATACCTATCATATTACAGAAGAAGACAAACCAAACATATACCTTGGTTTACTCAAGATACAACACTCTGATAAATATAGGTCAAAGGACAAAGCTAGCCTCTCATCAAGCCACCATCAAATAAAATCAGTGCCTTGTCAACACATGTACTCCCAGTACAACTACTATCCTTTCAAAAAAATAACTGGTCTTTAGATGTACAGAACGAGTACTCCAACGGACCAAACAGACCGTTTCTAATCGAAGAGACTTTTTCAGTTTTTTGTCCTGCTTGACTAGGTACAGGGTGTCATCGCAGTCACATAACCAGAGGAACTTCACCATTTTATTTTTATTTTTGTCTTAAGTGCAAAGTGAAGCACCCAGAGCTCACTTTTTTTTCCTTCTTCAAAATTGTGTGCAGCTTATACCTGTTCATTGCATCCATAAATTCAAAGCCTTGTAGCAAGGCTACACCAAGAGTCTCCACTATTGAATCAATGTTAATCATTAACCGGAATGTAAATAAAGAAGCTCCAGTCTGTTCGTCTAAATTTATGCCATATCTGCATAAATTTGAGCCCTCGTACCTGGCTAAAAAATTACAGTATCTGATCTGCTGCTTCCTGAACTGAAGGCTTATCCAAATACAAATTCAGCCATCGCCACCATCATTATCAGACAACAATAAAAATGAAAGAAATGATAGCGCAAGCGATAGGTGAAATAGATTGTAACAATCATCTTTTTTGATACAGAGGACAAATCAGAGTTTGATAGGGTAAAGGCCAGGGAAGGCCAAAATGCTATCAGACGAAATCTTCAAGTTTTAAGATGCGAGTGCTAATAGTTTATCGGCAATAAAAACTGACCTTAGATGATAGGGCAATGAACAGGTTAGGTCAAAATTAAACAGTCATGCAGGTTTTGGAGTCACAATTGTTCATGTAGATATCAAGTCTACATACAGTAGTAGTACAGAGAACTAACAGAGAATATATTTTACTTGTGGTACAATAGTGCCTTGCACTAGTTTCATTTTTAAAGGCTACATGTATGACAAAGGCCTTGTTCACAGTTGATGCAATAAGCCAGCCCCCCTCCCCCCCCCCCCCCCCCCCAACAAAAAGAGAAAATGAAATAAATGAAGTGTGCTTCACATTCCAAGTAATAGTGATTAGGAATAAGGCTCTTTGTTGCATGCTGCTAAATTGCACATTTTCCATTCGCTTTAATACATACAAGTGTATTTCATTCCAGGGTGGGTTCTACTTCAGCCAGTTTTAAGAGGTCATGTGTGAACAAGCTATCAGATTATCACCTTATTTCAAGAACAATTCATTGAAATATACAAGTCATGTATATTTGCATTGATATCTCAGCTCGATGTACATTGTACTTCTTGAGTTTAAAGGAAACTGTTTGCTTTCCTTTTTAGCTCTGAAAGTCATTTTCATGTTTTTTTCATTTTAAACAAATCTTCAACGCAGAGCCTGTGACTCATAACACAATTCATGAACTTTACAAAGAGAATCAAATATAAGCATTTCACACATTACACTAAAAGATATTGGCAAAAGTTGGCCCTTTTCACAGATGAGATCCTGTACAGTTCTAAGCAAGTTGTTTTGGGTTGATATTCGAAATGAGGTTTACGTTTTGAATAGTGTGCCTGCTTGGCAACTTTTAATCTACCATATGTACTGGTACTGTATACAAATATGTTTGGTAGACCACATGGCCCCTTCAGGGTTAACAGAATGAGTAGAAGGAGGAGGCAGAGAAGACAAATGAGAATGAGGAAAAGGAAAAGGAGAGGAGAAGGAGAATGATGAGGAGGAGGAGAAAGAGAAGGGGAAGGAGGAGGGGAAAGAGAAGGGGAAGGAGGAAGAGAAGAATGAGAAAGAAAAGGAGGAGAAAAAGAATGAAAAAGAAAAGGGTATGGAGGAAGAGGAGGGGGAGAAGGAGGAGGAGAAGGAGAAGGAGGAGGAGAAGGAGAAAAAGTAAGAGAATGAGAAGCAGTAGAGGAGAAGGAGGAGAAAGAGAAAAAGGAGGGGAAAGAAGAAGAGGAGAAGGAAGAGTAGAAGGAGAAGAGGAGAAGAAGAAGGAAGAGAAGAAGAAGAACACTGGTGTGTTTTTAAAGTAGAAACTAATGATACAGTGCAACCTTCACGAGTACATGCAGATGTACAGTCATCCTAGAGTGTTCACGGTCCTAGTTCACTTCTCTGCTAACCACTACCTTTAACTCTTGTAAATATCTCATAACAAAAGGTCTCAGATGTTTGATTTGGTGGAGGCAAATTACTTCTATTCAGAGCAAGAGATAGGTTTACAACTGCTCTATCCATCATAAAACCACTCATGTGTGGAAAAATAGGAACACATCATCTCTCACACTACTTCTGATACTGATCGTCATTCTAACTTTTAATAGTAAAAGTGCCCTAATACATGTACATACAATGTAAAACATGTAGGTTATTATTATCATCATCATCATCATCATCATCATTACACTTTTAAATAAAAGGTTTTAGATATTCTGGAAGTGAAATGAACTCTGACCTTTAGGGGTATTTTATGAAATTATACATGCTAGTCTATTTAGTCTACCCAGGGAGAGTGTTAAACTCACATCTCTCTGGTCTACCGTGGAAGAATCATATACATGTACATGTACAACATCCCCCTTCATTACGCCAAATGATCAAAGTCCATTTTAAAATACTACACATTAAACATGTACATGGGCATGAACTTGCATATTTCGCTGTATAATTTTTTAGTCCATGCAGTACATATTAAACATGTACATGTCGCTCACATGTACATATTAAACATGTACATGTCGCTCACATGTACATATTAAACATGTACATGTAGCTCACATTGTAAAAAGCATGTGTGCTCATAGAAATGATGAAAGTGCTATAAATAGGTCCACCATTATATGCACAGTCATCAAGAAAACCAGCAAACAATAAGGCTTTAAAAATAAGAATTGATTGATGGCAAGGTAAACAATGGATTCAACCACTTTTAAAAAAATGGATTCGCTCTCAAAAAATATTGCCAATTAAAGCCTTGGCCGGCCTCATAAATATATATCTACAGTGTAGCAAAGATTGGACAGCATTGTATAATCGCTTATTGCAGTTGAAGATTTTAAAGATTACGTTGAGTAGCTGTCATACTATGGTACCATCGAGACAGAAACTATCTGACATTTTCTTGTCAAGATTAAATGCAGATCACAGGTAAAAAGCCGCATATAATTTAATTGAAGATGGAATAGGCATGGTTAATGGTTACAGTAGGGAAAAAAATAATATTTATTTTTCGGGGGCTACATTTCAAGCTTTCCTGCCTGAAAATAACATTCTAAAATTTGTTTTGCATTGAACTCTATGTAAATTTATGGGGGCTCTTTTGGGCATTTCGGGGGCTATTTCGCCCCGAGCCCCCATGTACAGATTGCCAAGAGATTAAACCCTGATCTTGCTCACAGCAGATACATGTATGTACTGTATATGTACAGGTAGTTTGATAAACGTCTTTAGCTATAAATTGGCAATTTTTAAACTTTTAAATTAAATTGTATATGTATATGATGTAGTTTATATATGTTCATGTACTTCTCTTTAGTTTCAATTTCAAAATTAAAAATGATATAGATTTGTTTTAAATAGCAGCATTCAATTGCCAATTTGAACAAAATATTATCAAATTGAATTGGATTGACATGCAAAGTAATCCCTTACAAAAATGTTATCCTCAAAGATTTAA